CTCCTGCTTCGCTTGCACTGCCGCCACCTGGAAACCCAACTCCCCCGATGAAAAACACGATGAAAAACTGCCCGGTGCCACCGAGGACTGGCGTAGGACGGTGGCGGCCGGCGCCATGGACGAGGATCATGTTCAGGTTATGGTCCAAGAACCCATAGAACATGGTAGCATTTCATCGGTTTGATGCTGTGTCCAAGTAGTTTTCTTGTCAAAAGAGTCCCACCATGTCCCACCCGCAATTTCGACTTGATACAGCATCTAAGCTGTCATCTTGTTAGAAGAGTCTCCTTCTTGCGCCTCCGCCCACCTGCAACTGTCTGGGCACCCCCTGCCGCAGCAATGCGGGAGATCTTCTTTTTCTCCTGTAGAACCGTGCCCGTATGACTCCGGTTTCACAATAGGCAACAAGCAAATGCACTGATGTAGAAACTCATAACAACCAGTTGATTGAGATGGACTCCTTCCTCTCCTCTTGGTCCCAGGCTCTTTAGGGTTGTGCGAGTTTGAGTAATTATATGTACAGTATATAAATACTTTTCATATTCAGTCAACAAATAATTATGAACATGTTGTTGCACACACACACAAATATCAAGGTCGTACCCAACCTCACTGCAACCAAAACGTGAAGTTTGGGATCCACATTTGACAGGTTCTTCTGTTTGACATGCATCCAATAGTCCAGTAGCTTGCTCGGATCTTGATCTTGTACCCTTGCTTGAATTGCATCTGTTTGCCTTTAAGACAAGCAGGCGACCAAGAACCTACAAGTTCATACTAAAAACCACTTCCCTTTCTTGAGGGGAGTATGGCAAAAAAGTCGTAAGTCTTAGAATGTCTTAGACATACCCTCTCATCACTCTGCCGATCACCAAATCTCCTTTTTGCTGATCCTCTTCTGTTCCTTCTCCTTCTCTTTCCTGAGAGGCGTACGGCATACGGCCTCTGCACACTCACATCTTTTAAAAGACTTCATAATGGTAACTTAAGCCAGTGTCAACGCGTATCGCAAGACCTAGTAGATCCCAGTAGGCTAAAAAAGACACCAAGCTTCTCATCGGAATCCTGCTTTTTGGTATAATTACAGACTTATGGGTCAAATAACCATGGATTTGGGATGCTTCTTTGGCTTCCTCATATTGCCCCATGGGCCGGCCCTATCTGAGTCCCCCGGCTCATCCACCTCCTCCTGTTTGGCGCTTTAGGACTTCCGTGACACCGTGTTCGGGACTCTCGTTGTGTCGGGCGAGGTGCAATGACGAGCAGAAAGTCTACAGGACTTCAGTCTTGGCAAAGAGTTCTATAGGTACAACAAATGCATAGGATGGTCTATAGCACTGACAGTCACCAAGATTGCACCTAATAAAAGGCAGGGAGCATCTAAGTTGAGACAAGCACCGTATTTAGTGTTTTTGGGGTCGCAGTTATATAGCAGGTTATAGCCAAAAACATGATACAATGCATACGATTCCAGCAGTTCCCAATCACTTACTTCGGATTTGTGACAAGAGTCAATGGTCTGGGCTATCTTCCGAAGTATCAATCCAGTCTGTTCATCAATGCCTATGTATGACAAAACAGTGAACAATCACCCAACAAAAAATCGCAGCACTACGCCGCACCTGGACCTGCTTGGTTCTAGTTCCACAATCCCCACAACCGCTGGGGAAACGTGTCACGTCCAGCATCATTCAGCCGACTTCCAGGCAGCCAGGCCTCCTCTTCCTCAGGGGCGGCCTGAGAAGCTTCCACGATCTCTTCTTGGTCGATACCGGCCTGAGACACTTCTTGCCAAGCTCCTGGACTCCTCGCTCCCTCCCGCCAATCACCTCATATCTGAGGTGAAAGCGATGGTGAACTCGGATCATTGTCACCATTCGGTGGGATGGCTGTCAATGTCCGATCATGGCCGTTGCAGTAAGTGCCGTGCCATATCGTGCCATTCACTTGATGAATCCCAGGACGAAAGTGTCTATGATACCCCTTACCACCAGAGTGGCACCCCTGAGGGTGTCCTGGTATGGCGATTCATGTGAAAGTGAGGATTCCAATAGGGATTCATGCGAAAGAGCAAACCACCCAGCTATCCAAGTGGGGCTTCCAATCCAATAGGGGATTTTGCATGAATGTCCGATAGCCAATATAGGTATCCAACACTACGACTACAAATTATAAACTATAACTATAAATGAAGAAAGGGGACACAAGTGAAAAAGGGGGTGCATCTGATTCCACTCCAACACACACATGCCAAAGATTCCGTGCGCATCATTCCATTCCCATCTACAACATTCAATTCCCTCCCTCAGGATCGCCTCACTGCGCCCGGCTGATCGGCTTGGACCCACACCTTTGCTTCTTGCGCCGCCCTGCTGCACCACCCTGCCATCCTTACGCACCCCATCGGGCCTTGGTGGCGGCGGCCAGGGCTTCAGCCACCCGGGCCTTCGCGGCCTTCATCAGCTCTCCTGGTCTCGACGGCCGCTCGCGGGTTAGAGCTTCAGTGAGAGGAGGGTAGGTAGACATGCATATGGAAGTAGGTAGACATGCTTAATAGGGACAGTGTGTTTGGTCCAATATGTGTTCAATCTGAAGACCAGTGTCTCCTTTTCCCTATTTCCAGTACAACCGCAAGGGAGGTGGACATGGCAAAAAACTCATCATTTGGCATATTAACCTGTAGTGGGACGGTTCTAGGATGTTCTAAGTTCTAGGCCGTTTTGGGGTCAATGTTATACATTCCATCCATGAAGTGCCTGGGGTTTTCCAACATCTTCTGTCATGGTCCAAATCTCGTGGCGGGGGGGGCAGTCTGCAAAGTGACATCTTCAAACGCATCTTCCAATCTTAGCAAACTCCAGGAATCCAATGTTCACCCTCTCAAAGGATCCTTCAAAGAACCCTAAAGCCTATCGACTATCCTAGTTGGGTACCCCTAGTTTTCCGGGTCCACTGGCGACCTCTGCAGGTGTTCACCCTCTCCAAGTGCGAAGCTGGATCCGACTCTCCACCCATCGGGCGTCCTCCACTCGGGTCTTCCTCTGGCGAGGTGGCCAGCTTGCCTTGGCGCCCACGAGAACCAGACCGACGCGGAAAGACCGGGTGTGACCGTGTGGGTTTTCCAAAGACCTTGGAGAGGCTCCAGAACGACCGGTGTTTCCAAGAGTTTGAGACATTGGTTGTACTTGTTCCTACCCAAACCATACCCAAACGATGTCTGTGCGTTCTTGACTAGCCAAGGCATCCGACTTGCTTGAAGGGTATATTGCAAATCTTCAAGAATTGGACACATCATATACGGGCAATACAGTGCTGCGCGTCAAATGCTGGACGATGAACTAAAATGAACTAAACATACCTGAAAATCTTCCCAGGAATGACGCGTGGTTGGTGGTCTAAACTTTTATATAATCGAAATCCCAGCAATTGAGATGGCATTCCTCAGTCTAGGTTGTTTTCACTGTCTCTCTACCTTCCCACCAGGATACCAGGATGGACATGGATGGACCATGTCTTGGAAAATATTGTTAAAGTTAAACAACTAGAAAGGCAAACAGCATACACGCACACACCCGAACCTTACCAACCTCGACTTTCAAAACGCAGCTCCAGTGGCGGACAATCTTGAGAGCTTCCTTAATGTCGTCCAGGAATTGCTTCTTCCGCGCAGCCTGAGAGGTCACTCCCTGAGAGACTGATGGGTCCCGGCAAGCGGGGCTCCGATTGACAGCATTGAGGAGATGTTCGGCTGATGGTTGCCAATGGTTACCTTCTTGTATAAGAGAACTTTTCGGAGCTTTGTCGTTGGCTTCACAACAAGGGCAATGCCCCATGGACTGAATGATGATGCGGGTTCCTGTCATCTGCTTGGAACGTCATCACAAATTGAAGGCCCATGACAAATTACCGTCTTTGCTGGTCTCTGGACCGAATTGAAGCTCCTTCCCTCCCTCCACGCCAAAGACACCTGGAAGTGCTCAACTTCAAAGAACCGTCCCGGTTTCAAGGTTTGTTGCCTTTAGAGGACCCAGTGGGCCGTCGTAAATCCCATTGGACCCCCAGGTGGGCCGCTGCTTTTCCTCAAGCGCACGAGGCGGAGTCCAGGACTGTGGCGTGATCCTTGGCGTGCCCGCTGAGAGAAACAGGGCCGCCCTGCTTACAGTACACTGTTTGATGACTGTGGCGTGATCCGTGGCCCCGTGCGAGGTGTTCGCCAGGACTAACATCACAGAATCTGCAGGTTTTCAGTTTCCCTTGAGAATAGAGGTCTTGTTCCATCTGCTCCACGATCCGAGTAATCAGTGGATCCGTGTGAACACTCTCAATATATCAGCATAAAACCATATAAAACCCCACAAAGGAATACGGATCTTCAAATCTCTCTCGTCCTTTGCGCTCAAATAAGTATATATAAGCTGCTTTGGGAGCTGGCAGTTCTTGGGCCCTTCGCAGTACAACTCTGAACCTGTCATCTACGTCATTCGCTTCAAGCTCGAACTCCCCATCCCTGACTCTCGGCCGCGATGCCAAGTAAATCCAGCTTAGTTGAGAGCTCGCAGAATCACCATGCTGGCCGCCACGCCCAGGCCGCTCAAAATGGCCAGGTAGACCTGCAGAATCTCCAGCCGCAGAAGGGACATGTTTCGGAGCTCCGGCATGGTGCATCAGGGTCCATGCAAAAGAGTTCATGTTCTTGGAGAACTACGGTCATAAGGCGTTTAAGACTTGACACTGGCACCCAGAGACGGCTTCACGGTTCAACTTCTAGGATTCCCAGGGGGGCTCCCAACACTCCAACTTCCAGTCCACCGTATCCCACACGGTGGCCACCGCATCGGGCAATGCTTAGAGTTGGTCCATGTTGGTCCCAAAAGGCCACAGGACCCGTGGATGACATGAACTTCTTAGGGTGTTTCAATTGCAGGAACTTGCCAACCAGCCATAGATAAGGGGCGTCCCTCCAGAATCACATTAATTATTCATGATTCATGACCATGAACTCATGACGATGACCCCTTTCCGCCACACTTCTCCAAACATGTTGGTGAGCCAACTAAGGGACCAAAGCTACACATGCTGCCCCAATGCAACAAATATAGGTCTTTCCAACCAATGCCACTGGTCCACCCGCACCAAAAAGACATCTGTTGACTTTGCGACGTGACGAACGATCCGCACAAAACCGGAGCCCAAGACACGCCCAGGCCGCTGGCCACTTGCCGTCCACCAGGACGTGGTTCAAGCTCTAAGCATCGTCCGCTCAAGATATCCTCACAATCTTTCAACAAGGTACCTCCGTGGCGAATCGGGGCGAGTCATCATGATAAGCAGGGCATGGACCGCCATGGTTAGTCCTCCCCAAGAGTCCCCCCCCCCCATGGTCGTTCCATGAGTTTGGCACTTCTGGAACTTTGCGCGGCATTTGGGACGCTGCATGGGTTCGTGATCAACAAAATAATTCAATGGATGGGGTATCATGACTTCAGCGAACTGAAGGAAGGCAAAGCTGTTGATGTTCTATGACTTTCTCCTGTCGCCTGTTGCCAAGCAGTTTGCAAACATGTGCGTTCTTGTTGCGGCGTGGGTCAGTCAGGTGCTTCTCTCTTCTAGTGGGTTCTATGCCAAGGAACCGCTCACACACTCCTTATATCCTAGATTCTAGATGTTCACGTACTCCTTATGACACGCTTATTACAGGCAGGGGAGTTGGTCAAATTTGGGCTGGGTGCTGAAGACTATGTCATATAAGCCTGCTTTCTTGTCAATGGCCCATCACTAGAGCTGCTCCAGGCAAAAACTGGCACAGACATGTTCCGGACATAAGTCTTGGACTCCTAGAATTTTACATATTGTCAATGCTCCTAGTGCTCCAAAATCCAAAGTGGGCAACAAACTTGCCAATCATATCTTGAGATGCTGATTGCACGACCAAGCGCAATGCTTTAAAGCCATGAAATGAACATCCTTGGAAGATACAGCTCAGTTCTGTCTCAAAAGGACAACTCACAACTCCACTTTGGCCCCCCGTTACCCATCAACCTGGTTCATCTCAATACAACCCACCCAACTCCCTGCGCATTGCCTTGGAGGCTGTAGCTCAAGTGGAAGCTCAAATCAAAGCCAATGAGTGCCAACGCTGCGCCCGCACAAAGCATGGATAAGTTACTCCACGCAGCCCGCCGACCCACACTCACCTGAGCGCTTACAGTGACCGGTCACAGGTCCGCTGAGCACATCTGTGACACATCTGTGATCTGTGACACATCTGTGATCTGGTCAGCTGAGGATGTCAGGAATTTGTGGGAAGTGTTTCATTGGGATCCTTCATGGTGCGACACATCTGTGTGACATATGACCATCATATCCCAAACACGACGATCCATGGGACTGCCATAGGACTGTCGATCGGGGTGCCAAGCTTTGCACCTCACCCTCCCACGTGTGAGACCCGGCAGGCCGGAAAAAGAACCCTGCACCATAGACGACCAGTACTGGACTGACATGGCATGACATGGCTATATGCTGGGACCAGTACTGGCGGCTCCCTCGACCCTTCTGACAAAAAGGATGCGCTCCAGCAGCCCGACGCAGCAGCAGTGCGACCGGGTGTGCAGCGCCGGTGCTTTCGCGCGTGAAAACGCTGCGGAGGGTAATCCCCTCCACACCAGTGTGTTTCTTCCCCCAGCGGTGTGGACGAATGTGTTGACTGGAGTGCTGTGAAAGGCTGTGACAGTAATTCGAAGCCAGGTACCTTTTCGTGAAGACCTGGACTAGCAGGAGGTGCCATATGCTACCACTACGAGGTGGCCCTCCATCGACGATCGTTCTTGCATTGACGTCGCAGTTGCCCCCTGACTGATTTTGAAAGGGTGTTCACAGCGCAAATGAACGGAATTCAACACCGTGATTCAGAACCGGATTCTTTTGTCCAGAAGTATTGAAAAGGCATCCACTGCAGGGCACCTTCTGGAAATGGCAAGACTTCGTGTCCCCAGGGCAGCAACTCAACTCGTTCTCGTGTTGTGATATTCTTCCATATTCTTCCAATACCAAAATCTGAAGGAATATGCTCCCAGACTGCCAGTCACCGTCCCAGCATGCCGCCCGTGCTGTCCATCCACCACCCTCACTCGTGCGGCTCCTCGTTCCGGTCCGTTGGAACCGCGCGTCCCTCGTCCGTCCGCGCCGCGGCACCGAGCAAAAGAAGGCACCCGGTAAGAAGTCCACCTGGCAGCCGGTGTGCACCGGTGTGGGCACCGTGACGTCTGCACCCGGTGTGGGCACCGGTACGGAAAGCACCGCCGTGGTTTCCTGCTTCGGTCTGGGATGATGGGTGGGATGAGTAGGACTGCTGTGGAGTGAAAATGGAACAGTTGCGCTGGAGGGAACGTTGAGGTTCCCGATGGTTCGAGCCTAAAGCAGCATGGTGAGACAGCCGACATGCTGCTAATGACGGCCTTGAGATTGGAGGAACGCATGACGCTTGATGCCGGTTTATCGAGTTTCATGATTGATGTATTTTAAAATACGTCCGGCTCAAATCAAAAGCCGCTCAAAATGCAGCGTAGCAGCTGCAAATTTATAGAAGTGTTGGACAACAATAACTTCAAGATTACCTCTACTACGTGTGCCGACACGCAAGTTTTCGAACAGTCCTCTCTCCCGACCCCATCAACACCGATGTCTATGCCCCCAAAAGATACTATAGTGCTGGAGGCGGACGAAAGAAACATGTGACATCATGTGACCCTCCTTCCAACACTCATAGAAGTCGCATGGCCCCTGGAAAGACCATGAAATCCTCTACCAACAAGGGAATTGTCGACTTTCCTGGGAAATTGGAGGGCAGGTTGCAAACTTCCATGGTTTTTTGGTCAACCCATCATATCCAAACCCCCTCTGCAGCTTCGCCACCGGCACCATCTGCCGCACAGCACGCCGGCCGCCGCGAGGGTCTTCGTCGCCCGGCTCAGCGTCAAATTGCACATAGACCGTGGAGGGGCCCTCCTGCGTATTTTAGATCGGGAATGTGCAACGCAAATAGGCAATCCGAAAGGAATATATATATATATGTGACATATATCGAATTACAGTATCCATCATGAATCATGATCCTCGAACTAGCATGGTCCATGATGATCCTCTTTCTGCGAAGAGTGGACAAATCGTGGCGAATCGTGCCAAAGCAAGCGCCTAGAGTCCTGAGAAAAACTGAGAAGACTTGGCTGGGGACTGTGAATCATGGCACCAGGAGATGGTTGACCTACCTGGAAGGTCAAGCTATATGGTGGACCAGGGCTCCAGGTTTTGACCCATCCCCATATAAAGCAAGTGTCCAAAGAACACATCAGAGGCGCAAAGCACCAAGATTGACAAGGAACAAACAAAACACATGATGAGGAACTTTAACTTGACAATTTATGCCATATATATCGGGATAACGGGATACAGATTTGAACTTATTCATGAAGCTGAAATCTTCAAGACCGCCCCGTTCGCTTTTGGTTGGTCTCGTTACGCCCCACCAGCCTTGGGTCCTTTGAAGCAATTTACCAATGGACAAACACATTCTCAAACTGGCTCAGAGTGTGATCCCGCCTCAAATTGAATCCCAGACTCCCCATTAAATGGTGAAATGTGTTGGGGTCCTTTACCCCGTTTACCCTCACGTGACTCACCCAGCTCTCACCAGTTCAGAGCCAGACACCTCTGTGGGGAGGCCTCGAGAGTGGACCAAATTCCAAAGGTCGTCATCTGGCTCCTGTACGATGCCTTAGATTTTTGCCACGAAAACGAACAAAACAGCTCTTTTACAGCGGCGTCAGCTTCAGAGTCTCATTTTGCTCATCAGTGGCATCAGCCTCCACTTGATTCCCACCAAGAGGAGGAGCCTGCCTGGCCAACAAAGGCTAAAGAAAAAACAATTCAAAAACCCCTATTAGACGATCCCATAGGATGAAGTAGGTATATATACCCCAGGTTATGGGTCCGGACCAAGGTCACTTCACCCCCTCTCTTGGCGCCCCGCCCACCCACGGCAGAAATCGCTTGCTCCAACCGCGCGGCGTACGCCGCTGACGACGGACTGGCTCCGGCGCCACTGGCTCCGGTCCTCGTAGTCCTGAATGCGTCATTTGGGTGACCTGGAGCACCTCACAAATGACATACGCCCTGACTTGTGACGTAAGTGTGTGTTTATAGATTCTAGAGAGAGGGAGAGAGAGAGAGAGAGAGAAGGTAGATAAAGGAGAAGTCTGAAGTGCTTGTGTTCTGGTACTCGCATGCAATCCTACCTCAAAACGCAACAAAGGACAACACATATTGGAGCGGGCAAAACATATGTATTTTTTGTCCAAGTTAGGCCTTCAAACGGTAAACAAGAGCTCTATATGTTTTACTGAAGCATTGGTTTTAAGCCCCATTCAACTCGAAGGGGATTGCCTACATACGAGTTGTCGAACGTCGAGGCCGTACCAGGCGCCCACCACGTCCAATGTGGCATGGAGACGCAAGTTGTGGGGGAGTGCGATTGCCAAACACTTCCTGTATAGCACTATATACCAGGGCCCCCGGGCCAGGGGTGTCCAATTCTAGATCCGAACAGAGGTGATTCGGGGTATCCATTACCCCAAGCAGGGGGCCCTGGTAGTTGCTCACTTGCTGCTTACCAAGGGCTGCCCCTGCTCTTCTCATGGTGTTGCTACAGGGTTCAAAGGTGCAGGGTGGGCCCGTACCAGAGGTCACCATGAGTCAGCAGGGCCAGTGCTGGGCCAGGTCTGACCTCACTGTGCTACCCCCCTCCTCACCAAGAAGAGGGCAACGTTGTCAAAACGAGTCTAAACGGCCTATTCCAACACCCCTGTCAGAGTAAAACCTAAGAATATGATGCATACCCAAGGATGTCCGCATTCAAAGAAAAATACCCACCGTAGCACATTGTTGGCATTCTTGGGCGTTTCGTTTGACCCACACCTTGATCAGTCTTGATCTGCTAAAACGCAACAAAATAACATTTAACATCAACAAAAAATTGGACAATTATGTAAACAGTTTATGTATGGGTGTTGTAGATGCTTCATCCCATACCATGCTCCACTTGGTGTCCGCCACATTCCTTCCCCAAGCCCCTTGGGGTGAAAAACCCTGCCCCAGACGCCCAAGGCTCCGAGTCCAAGAAATTCGCCACCTGCCAGCCCTCGCCCTTCGGGCACAGCCACACGTGACTCCGTACCGACTCCCCAGCGTAGAGTCCTCAGACGCCCAGACAGCTGACGGTGCAAAGCCAGCCCTAGAGTGATCCCGTACCGAACCTCAGGTACGGTGAGGATGGAGACACTGTGATGTAGGTGACAGGAAGGTGCAAGTACCTTCTTGAGAAGGTATGTGATCCCTGAGCTTGGAGCAGTCTTCTCGGATTTGGAACCAAAAAATTGGCACCGAGATGGGATGATCGTCCTCAGAGATGATTGTCTATCCCAAACAGTTGGGAACTCCAGGCGCATCCCTGTTTTGTTTTTATCCTTTTGAGAATTCTCAGTCATCGTTTCTTGGGTCTCCTCTTTTGCTGTGCAGGATAAGCACTAACCTCTGCAAATCTGGGCACAACATGAGGCAAAAGCATTGACAAGTTGAAAAACCATGCACAAACATTTTGTCCACTATAGCAGTTGAACACTGTAGGGCCATCCATGCTCGGCGTTGCAGCTGGAAATCGGGTACTTCGATGTTCGGAGAAGCGAACCGAACCTTCGCGCTTCGTCCGGCTTCGCCGCGCGCGTTTTCCCACGGAGGGGAAGGTCGTTTTCGGGGGAGGTCTATCCGAGTGGGCCGGTTCCGTGGAATGCGTGTGTCCCTTACAGTGGTTCCAGAGTAGATGGCACTGGCACCCCAAGATAATCTTTTATCATCTCTAAGGGGTCCGTATAAATTTCCGAACTTGGGGTGGGCTTGTGCCATTGAACCGCTGAAACCACTGTATAATACTGTATACCTGGACCATCCAAGGGGTGCCCTGTTTGGAAGCCTATAGGTAGTGTGGGGTAGCCCATTGGACACCCCGACAGGATGGTCCTGGTATGTGTCGTTAGTCCAGGAGTCCGTGGATCAGATTCTCCTGATACTCCCGGAAGTCCAGAAGCGTCACAGCCATTTGATCATCATCCTGGAGCGATTCACCTCGAGGCCCAGCAGCGAGGATAACCAGTTGGGCCAGGAGTAGAATTCCAATGCCTAGGCCGCAGAAGCTGATGTTTCACGCACTGACTAAACGTTAACACTATTTGTATATATGCAACAATCAACCACAAACAGAACTAAGTCACTGGGGATCTTCATCCGCAATCCTAGGGCTGTTAATCACGCTCTTGTGAGCTGCTTCCTGTGGCAAGCTGCGGGTCCGAGGTTGACTTCTGGCAAAACAAACATCTATGTCAGCCTTTGACCGGACTTTTTGGCGGTCTCTTGTTGTTGACATGTGTTAACCATTTGTTTGTTTTGCTTGTTCGAACAGCACACGAACTTGTGGCGTCTCAGGAGCATAAGGCACCCAGTAGGCAGGGGATGCCGCTGCCATTGTGCCGCCCGCAAGATCCCAGCAACAGGAGCTGCGCTTCCACGTCGAAAAGGCCACCAGTGTTGGGCAAGGAGATCTCATTGATGCAGCCCCAACAGGACGAGGAGGCACCAAAAAGCAGTATCATGGTGAGACCTCCTGAATCGAAAACTTACGTTGTGCGACTTCAGGGAATTCCTAACACATAATCGCTGGCCCTAGTTCCTATATTATATGATATATATATATGATTATATTATATATGTAACAACCTTCCCGAATTCCCGATTGAACACATACTCCATTGGGACAAAATCAAGATGTGGTTTGCTTTTTGTTTTTCATTTTAACAATACACTGTACGACTATTTTGTTGGGAAGGCAGCTGTATTAGGCCGATCTCTCAAGCAATTTTCTGCATTAAACTTATGCTCCTTTGTGGGGGGGTTGTGCCACTTTGAGGAGCAATATAGGATCGTTTTGAAGGAGTTGGACATTCCTTCACATTGAGGATTGCTTTACTTCAGCCAGTAAGTAGTTCTGCTGTATAGATCTTTACAATGGTTTGTTCATGTTGCGGTTCCTTTCCAGATTTTGGTTTTTGGGGTCTTCCATGTCATGTGTTCTCCCGATTCAAACCCTCACCATGCGTTTTGCAATGAATTACTAGGCAACAAAAGGGCCACCAAGGATCAGTGCTTGGACTTCTCCAAAGAATGCCGGTTCCTCTCCCTGGCTGTCGCCCGAACCCACCAGACTACCGAACCGTTCTGGAGGTGGACGCCGACGCCAAGCGTCCCAGGACCAACAAATACTTCCTTCGCCTCACCAGCATGGTGGGTTTTTCCGCATAGAGCCCGAACTGAGCGTAGACCAGACCATCGGGCCACTGCTTAAAACGCGTGAGAGGCAACGGAGAGCCGTCGAGGCAGCGCAGGTCTAAGAGCTCTTTTCCTGACAAAGCGATCAACAAAGGTTTGGAGGTGCCATTTAACTTTAATAGAGGACCCCAAACCAATAAGTGTTGATCTATTTTCCTTCTTCCAGAGGGGTCGAACTGGGAGGTCTCCCTAGTTTGATACACACCTGGAGTCTGGACCTCAGGTGGTGGAACCAAAGAGGCAATTAAGCAACAACTGGGGTCACCTGCATTCATCTATATACAGCAACAGTATATATGATTGACTACTGATATCTACTGATCCTGGCCCGAATGTACTAAGATTGACCATCCAATTATATTAATATACCAGGACCATCCAAGGGGTGTCCAATGGGCTACCCCACACTACCTATAGGCTTCCAAACAGGGCACCCCTTGGATGGTCCAGGTATGTTAATATACTTACCCTAGGGATCCACATACCGAACCTCAGGAGGTACGACTGGGCCCTCCTGGCGCCTACATAAATAGTCTCCTTCCTCACCGTACCTGAGAAGGTACTTGGATCTCTAGGGGTTAATATACTTATACAATATGTGGTGGCTTGGTCTTACCTTTAGTGTGTGCATTTCTTGGCACGCCTTCCCAAATTCTCCTCCACCATCCCGAAAAAGGTACAGTACAAAAAAAACAGCTATATAAAAGCAGTCCAGGGCTCCGCAAACCCTGGACAAGGTGGGGTGCTTGTTCTTGCTGCACAGCGCGGCGCCGTGCGCCGTGACGTTCAAGACGTCTGCCAGCAAGGCGGCGGGCACCTCCAGGCAGATGCGCCACTGGGCGCGATTCCCCAGGTAGAGCGAAGCACTCAGCAAAAGTAGGGTCACGATCTGACCTGAACAGTCGATTTGGGGCGATGTTTCAAAGAGACGCGGCACGGAGAACACACGGAGAACCAAATGGCCGAGACAAAGTGGGTGGAAATGAGTCAACTTAGAGGAGACCAGCCTTGAACCCAAAAAACAGTACCAGGACCTTCCGTTGACCGAACTTTGGAGACGTTTGTGACACTCACAAGACTCGTCATGACCTCTTGGCCTCAAGGGATCAAGTTCGGTGGGAAGATCCAGGTCTCTTGGCCTCGACTTTTAGGGGGGGGACTGTGTGGGGGGGACGTTCGTGTTCATCCAAGGGTCCAGTGACTTCTAAGAGTCCATTGTGCACAGGCGCTTGAACCAGAAGCTCTTCACCCTCGACGCTCTCCTCGGTCCGAGATGTGACTGCGAGAGCAGTCCCACTTCTTGACTGGTCGAGACCAAGCAAAGCACGAGCTTTGGTGTGATCCTCACCCTAAACCCTAAACCCTATATATAGCCACATGCAACACTCATTGTGCACCCCAATGGCTACAATAAGGATAATAACAATGAATTGCAACTAAATCTCGATCTGTCTTATAATTTTTAAAGCAGAACATGATCCACAAGTTTTTGGCGCACCTGCTCGCGCAACACGCCCGCAAGGTGCCCTCGTTAGGGGGGGTCCAAGCCCAACCTTCATTGCCACTGGTCCGTCCTGTCTGATTCTCCCCTTTGCGATGCTGATAGTGAGCGCCCTGTGCATCAAACATCTCATTTCGGAAGTATTTCGGCTGAAATGAGGGACTCCAAAGGCGGTTTGACTGGAGATACCACGCCCCCCATCCGGTTTCCAGTGTAGTCATGGCTTGGAGTTCAACCCGTGCCATTGGTCAGGGTCGCTCTCACCCGAGACCTCTTCACCCAGCGAGGAGCTTGTAATTAGAGAGAGGGCTTCTTGAAAATGGTTCCTTTGGAAAATTCAAATGGGGTACCTAGACACTCCTTTTTTTTGCCTACATTGACCCCCAAAACCCCAACCGATCGGCATATATGGCATCCATGGAGTGTCTGCGATATGATGAGATTCACATTTAGATCATTTAGCTTCCAATTTGCCTAGGAGGCTAAAAAAAGGGACTGTCACTGGCCCAAACCACAGTTCCTTGCTTCTCCGCTTCGAATCCCCACTGGCACCGCTGAGGCTCACATTCGAAGGAGACCACGGCTTGGGTGAGACGCACGCTGGAGGCGGTGTGCAGCAAGAGCTCCAGAAGAGCAATGAGCAGCCAAAACATCGAGGCCTAACGTTGCAAGACGAGAAGAAGAACACCTTGAGCTACTACAACCCCGCACAAACAACCGGTGGGAACCTTAGGGGGGTCATGGCCGGCCCGGTCACCATCATGGCAAAGGACCGAGGTGAGCGGAGACAATGGTGAAAAACCCTCCCACATTTTGCCCGCGGTATGGCTGGTCAATGTGGCATGCGTTTGATTTGGTCTTGAATTCTTCTTCCAGGTCCATCAGCAGGATAATGAGCACAGGACGAAAGCCTGGAAAGCAACAAGTGATATATGATATAAGTGATGAAAGCTTCTGCATCCCCCGCTGCACCAGGTGTAACTTTGTTACCATTTCTTGGAAGACCAAGTCTTTTTCCTCAACTCTATCGACTGTTCGGAACAGGTGAACAAATACAGACTGGCACGGATCTCCACAAACCACTCCCACAAAGCAACAACTCCACCGGTCTCCAAGTAGTTTCAACACACCCCAAATCCACCGTGTTCTTTTTCGATAAACCTGAGCCGAGCCGAACTGCTTGGATCTGAACGCCGAACGCCACAGCTGCTTCCAGCTGCGCCGCAGGAAGCTCCGAACGCCCCCCCCCCCGTGCTCCGCCCGTGCTCCGCCTTGTGAATGACCGTCATGTGCAGCGGCAACATCTTGGACTGCTTCTGAAGCAATCGCTCCAGCCAATCAAAGAGATTCCCGCGCTGCTCTCCTTGGGCGCTTCCAGTTGGGTGTTTGGAAGGAAGCACCATCTCTTGGCTCAAAACCCTGAGAACGTGGTCTCCTTGCAATCACTATGTGGCAAACGTGGCAGCCTTCCCCGCCTTCCCCTTCATCATGCATCAAGTCTGGCGGGCCCCAAAAACATGTCGAAAACCCACCTGGGCGCCAGACTTGAGCAACTTCCGCCTCTTGTGCGACGAAACCACCAACCCACCCTGCTGCAAAAGGTCCATCGTCGGACCCAGGTGCCACGAGAATGCCTCTCCAATTTCCCCCCCCATGTCCACCGCTTCCCCTGGTAATGACCAGACTGGCCGGCGACCATTGCTCCCAACCGTCCCAAGACGCTCCTCACCGTGCTCAGCCGGGAGTGAAAACACCACCGACCCTCAGCCGGGTCACCGGTCCAGGCCTGGATGCGGCGCCAGATCCAGGATTGCCCTCGTTGCACCGCTAACTCCTGGAAAACAAAACGGTGGGACAAACATTCTGGGGGACTGGAAAGGACCGGGGTCAACTCTAGGTGCTGCAACACCCTATAGATCCTGGAATTTTTGTGTGGCAAACTTTGAAGTTGAAACTGTTTGCAGCATTTAGCAACTGGTAAGGAATCTCTAAGAATATCTTGTTCAGGTCACCTAGACCTTGCATTCTTGGACTCACATGCTGATTGTCAAGGTGACCCTCAGAGGGTTTGGGAAAAACATTCCCAAACGATCTATGCAGGTGAAATCTGTGGCAGTCTCCTTAGCCATCCTGGCCCCTTAAACCATGAAAAACCCACGCCCCAAACACCGCCCCGTGAACGTGCCGGACTTGACCCCGGACTTGGTCAGGTCCTCCAGCTCCGCCAAATCTCCAGTGAGATCCACCCGCCAGGTGACGCGCAAGAAGGTGGAGCCGCAGTGGCAATGCGAGGGTAACACCGTCAAGGACTGGAGCAACATGGCGAAAATCCTGAAAGAGTTGCGGAGAGTTGCGACCAGCTGGTGTTTTTTGTCCTATTTCTTCTGGATGTGGTGAATCCAAATGGGGGGATGAATGGATGGATGGATGGATGGATGGTTCTAACAAAAAAAGCATGTCATTTTCGATTATATGTGTCTCACGTTTCTATGGTGTGGGAGTCCTACCCATCCTACCCCTGTCGCAACAAAACCTGAGGGTGCTCTGTGTGTGTGTGTGTGTTATCTTGATGAGGTCCGACAAAACCAGGGCCTCATCTTGCCAAAACGAACGTCCGGCAATAACTGACTTGTGTCTTTCGAAATGAGAGCATGGTATTGAATCGTGGGATGCTGTGTTTCGACGTGCAGCATCACTTTTCGTTAAAGTGCTTGAAACAACGCTACCATTTTCATTAATGGAACATTATATTTGGTCAAGGGTACCCATCCACTTTTTGGTCAAGGGTGCATTCCTCATCCTCAACGGGTATTAAACACGGCATGGAAAAGCCCAGTCACAGCGCACAGGCATAGATCTTCACTTCCTGAACTCCAACATGCAACAGGTCGGGAATTGGTTCATAGCAGCCAAAGCGAGAAGGCTCCCTCAAGACCCAAGATATCCGAATCTCAGTCGCCGTTGCTTGTGTAAAGCCGTTTAGTACTTTCAAGCTTGCGCTGCAACCAGTGCATGCCGGGCGGCAGATTCTCCGCAGTTTCGGTAGCAAAAGCCCAGCAAGTGGGTGTTCGCGTCAGCATAATCTTTCAGGGCTTTGCATCTCTTGGGTGTGTAAGCCTGCTCCTGATGATTCCAGTCGCGAAGCTTCAACAGCTCCAAAGAGAACAAATCAACTTAAACTCTCTTGACATTACCCAGAGAGTCCCAGGGGTATCCTTTGCACATACTTAGACTTACTGGGATTACAATTGAGCTCCTTCTTTCCACCAAAAGACGTCTCTTCTGAGCTTCGAACCGTGAACGTTCCAACGAACGGAGACTCATGCTGCCACGAACCGAACCGATCTGTTGGACTGACGTCCTCAGTGAAGGTGACACAGGCATCCGGGTCACGCAGGGACCACAAGCTGGTGATAGCAGCCAAGAGGGCGCTCAAGAGCGAGAGCAGCTGAATACCTCCAGACGAGCTAGCTGGGGACATCCTTCGAAGCAACAGCCGCAGCAGTTCGAAAAGTGCCCAGCTGGCTGGTGCGAACTAGCCGCATGTGTTTTTCATCGGTCATGGGTTCAGTACCTTCCCGACGAGACATGACGAGACATGACGACGAGCCAAGTCGTTTCGGTCATGTCTGCACCTATCTTCACCGTTTTTGAGTGCTTCGATTCACCTCCACGGAATGACCACGGACGAAACGAAGTGGCCATGGCCTCAAATAAGAAGATCCACCGCCGAAATCAGAAGACCCAAACAGGTGGTTACCTGTAGCAGCAAACTAACATTTATGAAAATTGTGGAAGACCATTTTCCTCCACAAATTAGTGGTTTTGAGAGAATGTTAATCAGCAGGGGGGTAGTTTTTCACTGAACCATGGATTGGGAGTCCCCAACTCCATCAAAGGTCAGACTCAAGGTCGCCTGGCATTCTAGCGGACTGACATGAATCAACAAGTTCACATGCGCTGCACAGGTCAAGGATGCCTTTTTTTTGAACACCTGACAAGGCCAAATATACACCTCCAGAAACACCCGCATGATTTGCATCTGTTGCCTTTTCTGACGCATCTTCACGCGCCTCTTGGGAGGCGAGGATGCACCCACTGCCACCAGCCTCTTCACGCGCCTCCGACCTCTCTCTCTCCAAGCTACGCGGCTTGACGAGGCGCTCCTGGGGTCCGCTGAGTTCCTGGGAATGGCTCGCGCGTCCTCTCCGACCGCCGACCCATGGGGGCGCCGGGTGGTCAGAAAAGGTCCGGTCCGCCCACCTCTGTCCAGAGCAACCAAGGGGGTTGGATGGGGGGGGGCTGACCCAAACCGAGATGGTGCAATCCTCATTCAGGCACCCTCCACGAAGTGTTCGCCTGCGTTTCGGCTGTGGAACGGGTCTGAAGTGTCCCAGAAGAAGAACAGGTGTGTATAGGATCAGAAGGAGAAGGGATCACCGTGCTTTTGGAGAGGAAGAACTCAAAGCTTGATTTTGACCAATTTCCCTCCACACACTGGGCTTGTTCCACCATGATCCACCATGTCTGTTCCAAAAAGACTCATGGGGGACCTCAGGAATGCAAGCAAAAGCGATGCGTCAGGTCCGTCATATATTACACTCCAACACTCCCTGACATGGAAGTGGATGGCGCCCCCCCTGTTTGGTACAGTAAAGGGTCTTCCTTTCAAAGGCTCACTTCACTCACGAATCGGCCGTGCTCGTCTTCACCCCGTGGAGCGTCTCTGAGAGGTGATGGGGTTTTTCAGGTCTCGTATGCACCGTCCCACGCGGCAATGCATGCAGGAAGGGGCGGTTGTGGCAGTGAACAACTGAATCCGGTTTACGGGGTTGTGGCTGTGATTCAGTTGTACAAGCAACATGAAGCAACAAGAAAAACAACTGAGGTGAGAACTTACAAGGCGCCAACACTGTTGTAACATGTTGTAACGCATGTCACATGTTAGAATTCAGCCCAATTTTGAGCACTGTGCAACTCCCATCATCCATCCCTGCACTCTCCCGCCCTGCAAAACACCCCCCCTGCCATCCAAGTCTCGCTTGGTCGCATCGTCCGCACCTCCTCTTCCAGAGCCCGTCCGATCAAACTCGGCTGCGGCCCCAGCGTGGGCGTGCGCCTCTGGTGGAAGAAGTCTGGGGGGCAGGCAAAACATTTGCATGGAAAAAAAACAAATGAGATGGGTGTTCAAGCAATATTAACGCAATTAGATCAACCAATTTTGTTCAATTATAGTGACAGTGGATGAAGAACATCTCTAATAAAGTCCATATCCACCTCTACTTAAGTGCAAATACACTGAGTACACCGTCTTTCCCTAAGAATGCCCGCCCACCGCTTTTTGGGGCTCAAGCTGCGTGGGCACACTGGCGAAGCAGCGGTCCTCGCAGAAGCCGCCGATCGGCCCCTTGAAGCAGGGAATCATCGCTGGGAAGCGCAGCGCGTGGTGGCGAGGACCGTTTTGGGTGGCGCGACAACGAGCCGAGGCGGTGAATGCTGGGAGCACTGGTGGGAACCCAAGGCCTTGGCCTTTGCTATGCTTTGCTGGGTGCCAAGCTGGGTTGCTGGGTGCTACAACTACGGTGGGTTCATTCTTCCAGTCGGATGGCGGAGGTATCACCTGGGACGTTCCACCGTCCGTTCCGGTCTGCGAACCCGGTGTTTTTGCTGATTGGTTCTGAGTTTGGGCTCGAATGGCAGAAGATCGATGCCCTCCCCTCCTTGAGTGGACTGTCAGGCAGCTTCATGGTGAGACCCGTCGGTTGGACGAGGAGGTGAGCTGTGATGTGGTTCTTTTGAGGTGAACAAGCTGCGCTGCGCTGCGACAAACATTGAACTTCAAAGAGCCCTTTTGCAAAGCATGACCCATTAATTACATGACCAATCTTGAGATGCAACATGGTATTTCCTCCTCAGGTTTCTCGTGGTGTCACTAGACTAGACTCTAGACCCTGCCTTTCTCCCTGTTGGTTCAGTTCATTTGGCTCCCCCAAAAGATCCTTTTCAGATCTTCACAAGACCACAAAACCAAAACAGCAATACTACCAAACGCCCTCCCAGCCTCCAATTCTTTCTCCCATCTGCCCGCCCTGAAGCGAAATCAGCTATCTTTCATGGCCCCGCTCCACACCCTCCGCTCCACCTCTTTCTCTTTTTCTTCTTTTTTCTTCTTTTCCTACCATGCATGGTCAAGACTGGTGGCTCACTGCTCCAGACCATGAACAAAAGGATGCACAAGGAAGCTGCGGCAATGACCGTTCCATTCCCAGCCTCTGGACAAAAAGAAGAAAACACATCAGTGTTGCCAATTGTTCAAGTCATGGGCAAACAGTCAAAGTCTTGAAAAGAAAAATGTGTCACGAATAACATGGTTCCTCAAAGCTCCGATTCCAATGCCTAAATGTGGGCTGATTCCCGTATGGGGTGCAAATCTGGAACTTCAGGAATCTGAAGAATTTGATATAATGTCTTGAGATTCAACGTGGACTTGGCAGCTATTCAAACGTCAGCTGGGGGAACATCGGACGGAAAGCAGGCCTCAACTCCTCAACTCCATAATTAACAAAAATAATCCGTTCAAAGAGCAACAATTCTGGGATACAAGCTTCAAAGCTATGGGACATAGGTTATCCGTCCCCCCTCTTCCTTCGATGTGCTTTGCAGAAAGGGCACTGTCATGCAAAGCAAACAGCCATGGCATCGAAAGTGGTGACCATTCACAAAACCATGCCTTTTGCAGCAAGTCATTGGATCAGGCTCCCATCCACAACTTCATCAACCCACTCCCCTCTCTCCACGGCAGTTAGCGAAAAGACCTCCGCAACGCGAGTAACGTGACCTCCTCTTCTTGGAGCATCTTCTGCGCATCCAGCGCAATCTCAGAGGTGAAATGAGGCATGTCAATAGTTGGGGAGTTCAAAGGCACGACACATCAAATGAGCTGATGCACATGATGTGCAGTGAAATAACTGGTGCCTCCGAAAGAACTTGATATGGACTGGCCGGTCCTACTGGTGTCTACCAACTTACGTCCGAACCAATAGCGCAGCTTGGATCCCCGCTAACAAGACCTCAACAGGTTCTAGGTAGCTCCGCCGCTACACACCTAAAGCATGCAGGTTTACCCAACGGAAGGAAAACACAGGGTGATCGGTGGAACCACTTCATGAAGGGAACCATCTCCAAATTAACCCGGCGTATCAGCTGCTACAAGTACGAGTACTTATTATGTTTCTCCATGTCTTCTACACTCGAAGGCCAACAAAATACTGACTCCTGAAACACAACCAATTCCGAAAAAACAACTTGGCCAGCCACGAGA